CTCCCACAAAAGTGCCCAGCAGAACTGGGAGCCATTAACAACAATCTTGACAAGGGAAGAGCCAAAGCTTTATCATCACACATGAAGAGAAAGAAATAGAAAAGTTCACAAGTTTAGAAAGATGAAATAATCTGAAGGCGTACATATTTTTTGTTAAATGTTTTAAGTTTGAGGTATTTTTCCCTAAATGGTGGCTTTTCTGGAGGGTAAATGATGTTTTTATAATACCAGCTGTAAAATATACTATCAAATTTCCCATGATGTTCAAAGTTAAGTGTCATCTTAACCTCTGAGTATATATTATATCATAATACCAAATAATAGATGAAAGGACTGAAAATTATTGAACAATATAAATCTTTATATACCACAAGACAGCCAGCATGCCTGTAATCTTAGCACACGGGGGGGGGGGGGGAGGGGTAGAGGTTAAGAGATTATTCTGTTATGCACTGGGACTACATGATACCATCACAAAAAAACATCAGTAACAAAAATAAAAGCTTTGCAGAGCAGGGCAGTGGTGGCACACACCTTTAACCCCACAGCACTCAGGAGGCAGAGGCAGGTGGTTCTCTCTTAGTTCGAGGCCAGCCTGGTCCACAGAGCTAGTTCGAGGGGAGCCAAGGCTATCTATCAAAGAAACCCTGTATCAAAAAACAAAAACATAACTTGTAGCCAGGTGGTGGTGGCACATGCCTTTAATTCCAGCACTTGGTGGGGAGGCAGAGGCTGGTGGATCTCTGAGTTCAAGGACAGCCTAGTCTACCAAGTGAATTCCAGGATAGTCAGGGCTACACAGAGGCACCCTGTCTCAAAAAACAAGACAAAACAAAACAAAAAAAATCAATCAATACATACATACATACATACATAAAAATTTCTTCTAATGAACTTCAAGAAATCATTTTAAAAATTAAAAAAAAAAGCAATTACATCCCCCCCCTCCGCTTTTGATGTAGCCCCAATTGTCCTAGAACTTGCTATCAGGCTGGCTTTGAACTCATGAGGGCTGGGATTAAAGGTGTGAACTACCATGCCCAGCTAAACACGTTATTTCTAATTAGAACTTCATGTGGATGCTTAAATACATTAAACAATATTGTTACACTAGTAGNGTGAGTCAGCAATGGTAAATTAGGTATCTTTAAATAGAAATCCACATAAAGTAAGATGTGTGTTGATAGGTTAATGGATGTATTGACTAAAGGTTGGCAGGAATTTAATACTGTGTCATTAACTACCATCTTACTTAAGTTAGGAGACTAAAACAAAACCATAGGATGGGGGACTTACTCCCCCCCCCCCCACCCCCCACCGAAAAACCTACTCATACAAATACACTTATCTTCCCCCCAGACAGGGTTTCTCTGTGTAGACCCAGCTGTCCTGGAACTCCTCCCAAGTGCTGGGATTAAAGGCATGCACTACCACTGCCCAGCATAAACTGTGTTCTTAGGTATATTAAGTTTGGGCACTTTGCAGAAGACTGAAGTATTTGTTACATTTAATATTTAGGAAGAGAGCAGAATAGAGAATTCACGTGAAAGTTAATTTCAATGTGAATACGATTCTAAACAGGTGAGATGTGGATGACAGCTGCTGACTAACTCTGGGCAGAAGGAGACAACTCCCTTCTAATCTGCATACCCCCCCCCCCTATTCTTCCCAGCCCTGGAGCTTTTAAGCACTAACCTAACAGTAAGGAAAGGGGGAGACAAAAACTGTTTGCTATTCGAATTGGTATTTCTGAGGTAGAAGACTTAAAGAGGAAAACAGTTCCCAAGCTCCACTTTGTCCAATAGCAATGTAACTGTTATGACAACGGTTCTGCCATTCATACACTGTGAAGTGGGCTTGTGATGATTCTGGCAGTAGTGGTGAGAGATTTCATTCCTTAACTACAATCTCAGGTAAATTTTCAATTCTTGCTGCACTATTTCTAGTTACTGAAGTATTACCTGCAGGCATCGGCAGTCGCAGCTCTTAGAGAGACCTGCTTTGTCTACACTGATGGGTGAAATCTTCAGCCTAACTCTGACAGCAAAACAAGGATATACTTGAATCTACAGATTAATAAAATGACTCAAGAATATGGTACCTGCAAATTGTAAAGTATCATATAAATGACGGATTTCATTGGTAATTTATGTGGAAATCACGTTTCTTTAGTTAGCCAGACTTAACACAAGAGCTAAGGCAGCGTTAGCTTCTTTCCTTGTGACCGATGTGTGTATCTCTGTGTGTTCAGCGAGACGACAGACAATAAAGAACAGAAGCAGAGAGGGAAACAATGGACCAAAAGAGAAGAAACTGGGATACAAGGTCTGAAAACAGCGAAGAGCTATATTCTGTGAATTACCTGATCAATACTGGGCTGCTTGGCTTTCGAGTTTACAGGGAAAGGGAAATGATCACTTCAGGTGAACTTCAATTCACTAGGTTCAGCAGGGCTTGCCAAAAGCCTCCCAAACAAAGGCAAGCAAGAAAAAGACACACTCTGAGTATCTGCATATTCTAAGCTCCCTGGGCGTTGTACTCACCAGAATAGCTGATCCCACTGCCTGCATTAAATGGAATAATAGAAGGGTTTTTAACTTTACCACATATTTTAAGGTCTATTCAAGATTCAGACACATACTGAAAACATGGCAATCTTGGCTATTCTATAACATCTAACCGTTGAAACATATTTACTTTCTGAGTAAGGAAATGTAAGGAGAATACTGTTTTAAATTAAAAATTGGTATTTATTCTTCCAGAGAGTGTTAAAATACACACAAAAGCAAGGCTGACTTAAAATCCAGGAAAAGAGTCAACATTAAAATACTAACGAAAGTGCTTTTTTTATATTAACAGAAGGATTTTTTTTAATAAATTCTATTTTCAGTAATAACTCAAGTGCCCCAAATGACTACCTTGGAGTATAATATAAACATTTTGTGCCAATATTAAAAAGTTTGTTAGTATCATGCAATTAAAACATATGCATTAAGTAAAATAACCCAAATATTCACAGAAACTTTAAACTCCAGAATAGTAACGTGTTTTAAAAACCAAATTTTAGACACAGGGTAGAACTTGTGTCTAGCATGCATAAGGCCTGGTCCCCCAGCACCTCAAAAACTGTCAAATTTAGTAAATTCTAACCCCTCCTAAATTACTATTACCAAACTTACCAACTATTGTAAGATTACTTACTTCTACAGAACATATTAAATTGGTCATCTTACCGTCTTTTCCATCTAGGGGTTTTGATACTTCTATATCAAAGTTTTCTTGCATCTGCTGACCTCTAAAACAACTGAGATGTTCTTGCTCAATTAAATTACTTTCTTCTTCTTCTAGAGGCTGCCAAGTTCCATCAATAAACCACTGTCCACGCATTACTGGTATTTTATCAGCTTCTGAAAAGAGACATCACAAGATCAACCTCCCAAAAGGAGACTTAGCTACAATTTTATTATGTTTTACTATTGTTATTCTCCAGGCTTTAATGACCAATACAATCATTTCAAGTAAAAATAAATCCAAATTTCAAGTCAGGGTGTAATTTTCCTGTTTGTTTCAGGCAGGGTCTCACTCTGGAGCTTTGGCTGGCCTGGAACTCACTGAGTAGACCAGGCTGGCTTCATGCCTGCAGCCACTCTCTGGCCTCTATTCCAAGTGCTAGGTATGGTAAGTGTGAACACCACATCTGGTTGGAGTTTTTTCCTACAGATATCAAGACTAAATTATTCTACACATTACCTAAGCTGCCTTACCATTTGGAAGATAGATGAGCAACTATCTATATATTTGAGGCACTAAACAACCCAAATTTGGAGGTTAAAGGCCTTACTGTAAGACTTTGTTGGTAGCTCAAAAGCCTTTGAGGTAATCTGAGTATAACTGGCCCCCATAATCTCATTGGGAACGGCACTATTAGGAGGTGTGAGTTTGGCTTTATTGAATTGGGTATGGCCTTGTTGGAGGCAATGTGTCACTATGGGGGTAGGCTTTGAGGTTTCCTTTGCTCAGGATACAGTGTCTCAGTTGACTTTCTGTTGCTTGTGTATCAAGATGCAGCCAGCACTATCTGGACGCAGGCCATCATGTGGATGAACCTCTGAAACTGTAAGCCCTCCCAATTAGCAGTTTTCTTTATGAGAGTTGCAGTGGGGTAAGGTACAGGGCTCCTTTTGGCAGATGAGAACTGGCTTCCCAAGTTCCTGAGGAATGCTGGCTTATCTAACTGCCAGAAAGCCTTCCTGCCATAGTCCAGGCTGAGTTCATTTCTAGATATCTGGACTGCCTCTTAGAGTTTGGGGAATTGGAGTCTCCTTTGACCCTGAAAATCGGGACTTAGAACTTTGACGCAAATGGGCTATAGATATAAAAGAAAAAAATTGTAATTACAAATTTCAATTAGGAATATCATCGTTAACTACAGAGGGCCTTCGCTCTTAAAAAAAAAAAAGATACAAACCACTCAAGTGCATGTGAGAGGCTGTACCCTGAGCTGAGAGGACCCCACAGCATCCGCTCTCCCAGAGGTCAAGACACCTGAACAAAACGGCTGACCCTGAGCTGAGAGGATCCCACAGCATCCGCTCTCCCAGAGATCATGACACCTGAACAAAATGGCTGATTCTGGGCTGGGCAGGAAATATGTCAGATGATCTTATGTGTTTCCTTCTACCAGACTTGCACTATGATGTATTTAAAGTTTCTGTTAGAAGATTTCCCAGTGTAGCCCTGGTTGGCCCAGGAAAGGCTTTGGAGTATTGGAATCCCATTACCCTGGCTCCCATATGTGCGTCTTCTAATACTCTCTAGAGATTCTGCACAATGCGATACTCACTGTGTTAGAGCACACACTGTGAACAGAGCTTCCCAAGCCCTGCGTGTGTGCTGTTATGTTACTGGGGGATGGGGTGGGAGGTTTGAATTATACTTTTGCTACTGAGGCTGAAGCCAGACTTCTCTCCATCAGGCTGTGGAGAGCTACACATCTTTTGTGTGTGTGTGTGTGTGTATATATA